CCGCCGCTTGGCCGTGCGCGGGGGGGCCAGGGCGGCGCGCGAGCGCCGGCCCCGGCGGACCGCCCGCAGCCGCGCGCTCCCGCCCCCGCGCCCGCGCCCCGCCGCGCCCGCACCACGCGGCCTCAGGGACGCGGCGTTTCCGGCCTAGTGCAGCGCTGCTCGGGGCGCGTCTCCCGCGTCTCCGCCCCCGCGCCCGCCGCCCGCACGCCGGCCCGAGACGAGAACGCGCCCCGCGACACGCGGCGCAGCGCACGCACGGTGGAGGAGGTTGGGAGTAACCATAGCGGGTCTTGACCAAAAACATTCTACGCGTAGGAAATGCTGTATTGAGGAGGGTTTGTGCGCCGACGAGACGTTTTGGCACTATCGACATTCGTGCGATGGCTGCAGTTCAAAGTCTTTGAACTTTCTTTTATAGTTTGATATATATCGTAGTAAAGTCGATTATCTGTTAATTTTTTAATTTGGCACTTTACGTTGAAGACAATAAGTCACAATCTAGGGTAGTGCATCGCGCATGCGCAGAAGATAGGTGCGTCCACTGCTGGCGATGTAAGCGACTCCTATTTATTTTTAGCAAGAAAATATTCATGAGAGCTTTCATATTGTAATCGTGCTGGTCTTAATTGATTGATTGCACTCGCAAAACCCCGTTTCCGGCGGGCAGTCGGCACGCATCGGAGAGCGAACGCAAGCTTCAAAAACATTCTAACGTACGAATGCTAGTTTATTAAGTTTGTGGCGCCCACGAACGTTTTTCGGCACTATCGATCTTGTGCGCATGCGCATTTCAAAGTCTTTGAAGCTTTCATTTATAGTTTGATAATATCTGTAAAGTTCGATTATCTGTTGAATTTTATTGGCAGATGGGCGGCGCGCGCCACGCCCGCCTCGCGCACCGCCGCCGCCTTCGCCTCCGCCTCGCGACGCTCTGCGCATGCGCACCTCTGCTCGCCACACCTCATGCCTAGCCCTATAATACTAATGTTGCAACTTGTCGCTCGTTACTAGTGAGCAATAGAACTTAGCCACTTGAGAAGTGAGCTATTTTCTTAGAAAAAGGTAAATTAAGTGATTAGTAATGACAATGATCCTATACAACTTCATTAATGACCTCAGATTGGTTAATATAACTTCGAAGAAACTTTTACAGTACTTGTGGACTCGGTAGTCCTTTGCTACTGCAGTGTATTACACATCACATACCAATGGTCACATGATTGTTAATCACGTTTTACGCTACACTGTGCAAACATTTTATTGAGTGAAATACTTTCCCGAATGTGGGGGGTATTGTTCTATGTCCTGGCTTGGACGTGGTTGTCAAGTATCCTATTGACAAAACGTCCCCTCTGAAACATGGTCATGCGTTCGCTGTGATGCTACTTTGGAGAAATTTGATGTACTTGCCCAAGACTGTTGTAATAATCCCGACCGATATCTCATTGTCGCAGGGGCAAAATGCTTGCATGCTGACAAGACATGCTCAATTCTCGTGTGGCAGGTTGCATAGAGTTCAGTGGCGCTAGAATCGTCATCACCCATATGTCCGATTTAATAAAAACCACTCTTCAAACAGTCCCATTACTAAAAGTTACAAAGTGTGAACATTGCAGCGATATCGGGCGAGTAGTTTTTGTGTATTTATCCTACACATATACCCACATTCCCTTTTTTATATGCAGGTTACAAAACAACTTTATTAAGAGACTAGCTATCGGAGCGCTGCCGTACTCTACCGAAGAAATGCTATTAGTGATTAAAGTTTAATTAAGGACCTCTTGACTTTCCCTTCCTGTATTATATCAAATAAAATAATGATATCCAAAGAGTAAATAATACTCTTGTGGGAGATAGTATCTTGGCACATCACAATAGGGAGGCCAATTCAAAAATAGATAACCCAATGAGTAAATTTTTCTCATCACTAGTATTCTAGGGTTAAGCATGCCTTATTTATTCAAAATTGGCTTTAAAATGAATCCAAGTGCTTGCTTAAAGACATATCACAACATAGCTTTTAACGTTGACGATAAATTTTGAATCCTGTTTCACAACAGCGCGGAGGAAAATGGCAGCATTAATTCTGACTTCTTAATTGGAATGTTTTACGGGAAACAATTCACATTTTAACCTTCGTGCCCTTCTCTTTTCAGGTTCACAAAGTATCACGAAGTTTCTATTATAACACATATAATGGCGAATACACTTTCTAGTCGCTTTAGAGGATTCGTTTCGTGATTATTCCCGATTCATAACTTCTATGATTTGTCTTTCCATTGTATTCTATTGTTTACGATGGAAAGCAAATGTGGATCTCGAAACGGGTAGTGAGGATTTAGCATTTAATGACTTCTATTGATGTCCAATAGTAGACGACCAAAATGCACGAAATTGAAAGTGATGTTTAAACGAGATATTTGAAAACAAGTTACCATTACGATATGTATCTTCCTACCATTAAGCCTCTGAATCGATATTATGTTCCCAAATGCATGCGTTAATATTGATTTCCAGAATGCTATGTAACTCGAATTGTTATTATTGTCCCAGGATATATTCATGAAATGACGTGAACTGGGCAAGGATTATGAGTTTAGCTTAGAGTTGACAGATCCGACGCCGATATGTATCGACAAAAAGTCGGTCATATCTTTAAGATAGATGTTTTGGTACGTCGCAGAACTTAAAGATTTGTAATCTCAATGTATCACAATGCGAACAAATAACATTTTTTCGCTGTATAGCTGCCAACATTACAGACAAATGTATCAATTAAAGCAGATATTATATGGAAATCTGGGAAATATTTACCGCAAGCCCCATTAAGATTTCATTGAACACGTGTTTTCAACAACTAAAACTTTTATATAAAACTTGACTCTTTAATCATGCAAAATATGTAATTGTCCAAATATGTGACGACGATTACTTACTTTGGGCTAATTCCTCCTTTTCGAAGAGAGAGACTGAATACACAAAGGAGTATTCCAGACACCCAATAATGCCCCCGAGCAGAAACTTGTACGACGATAAATCATGCTCGATGAAGGCCAAATGGACGAACAGCACGAAGATAATCTGCTCCTTCGTGAGATTATTCTTTCTATCGGGTGCGTCTTCTATCATTTTATCTTCGCTCAGTTCCAACAACGTCAAAATCCGTTTCTCTACTTTTTCGCGAATTTCTGTGTAGGCATCCACTTCCTCAACTGTTGCTCCGACAAAGAACAGCCGGCAGAACATGCCGAGCGTGAGCTGAAATATATCCAATCCCAAAACGATCAACTCAAAATGCTTCGGATCCAGTTGGGACGCCAAGTCACTAATTTTCTGCCCGTCGCGAAGGTTTTTTAACGAAAGCCCAACAGTGTCTATCATTGCCTTACCTACTCTTTCCTCTGCAACGACTTGGACACTCATCTCTCGCTTTTTCAGACTTTTGTTCTTGTTTGACTTTTGTGCTTGCGAGTTTAGTTTCCTAACTGTATCTCTCCTGGCCTCAGACTTTTTTGGTGCGCAGCGTTGGTACAATGAAATCAGAGTCTCCCGAATTTCATTACGTACGTAAGGTACCATTTGCCTCACGGGATTGATTTTCTCGTTTCCAACCCCTTCAGTTGATCCCTCAACACAGCGCATTCTGTTCGCAAAAACTTCACGTTTGGCACCCGACAGTCGCATTTGCAAAAGCGCTACGAATAATGCGTTAAATTCCTCGGCGTCCTTCATCAAGCAACTTTCGTCTCTGTTTCGAAGAATTTTCTTCGCAGTTTTAGGGATTTCAGAAGCATGATTTTTTTGCAATTTAACAATGCTCTTTTGCCTCACTAGGCAGTTTACAACACCTATTTCCTTTCTACTAGTTACCGGAGAGTTCTTCACAGATAATTCAGAAGTTGATTTTTTCACGAAGATGTAATCAGGAAATTTGCAAAGCGAATTTCCAACAATCTCATGGGCGTCTTCTGAAACGGAACCCACGTCTTTATCGGCATGAATTGTCTTATTCATCTTCTCGTTCAAAACAGAATCTTTTTGACTGGCTGATGCAAGCGATGTTCTCGCAGTGATATCCGTTTTCTTGTTACGTATGTCCCTCGCTTCAAAAGATCGCCCTTCATCTTCAGTCGAAAAGCACCACTTGGTCGCCAATCCCTGACAAAGTCTCGTAGACTTTCTGGGCTCTTCATTCAAATCAAACCGGACCTTTTTCACGGTCGTCTTTTGAACAAGAGGCGTCCGAAGAATTTCTTCGTTCGTTAACAACGTTTCACCGTCGCGTCCATCACCCGCCGACTGGGACATTTTAGTGCATTTTACCGCGCGACGCTCGTAATTAATTTGATAGTAGATCGTTTTCCGCCCAACGGCGCCCGTGTCGCTCGTCTTCCCGTAGCGCGCTGCCTGCTCGCGCACGTCTTCTTCCGCCTTGCGACCGATGCAGGCGGCGTCGCCGGCGCCGCCCATCTCCGCCGCCCGCGGCAGCGTCGTGCGCCCGTGCACCGGCGCCGGGTCGCTCTCGGCCAGCGGCGGCTTCTTCTTCGAGGGCCTGCCCTGGCGGGCGAAGAAACGCGCGTCGTCCGCGGCGGCGGGGGCGTCGGGGATGAAGTAGACTCGCTCGCTCTTGGGCCAGGCGTACGGCCCGGCCTCGATGTCGCCGCGCTCCACCGCCCGCCCGCCGCCGCCCGCACCGGCCGCCGGGCCCGCCCCCTCGCCGCCCCCCTCGCGCTGCCGCCGCCGCCGCCGCCGCGGCCACAGGAAGCCGAACACCAGGAAGCCCAGCACCGCCAGCAGGAACACGGCGCCGCTCACCGCGAGCGCGGGCGTTTTGGCCACCAACTCCGACTTCGCGTCCCTCGCCAGCTCCCCCGACAGCCAGACCTCTTCGCTGGATTTCCCTGCACATGGACTTTTTTTTAAAAAGATTCCGAAGTGATTTTACCATCAGATGTACATTAATATAATTCATAAATATGTTAACATTGATAGTTGAAATTACTGACAATTTGTGGGTGAAAGTATCCCAATGGTACATTTCATCTTCTTACGTCAAGCACAAAAAAGCTTTATTACTTTTGTTGGAAGTCAAACTTGAGGAATATCTGATTAATTTGAATAGGCGTATGTAACTATATAGTGTGATTAGTGTGAAAATCTGTAATGGAGTTGTAGGAGCTGAAGTCTATGTAATCGATTGATTTATCTAATAGTTAATGGCTAAAGGGATTTGGATGATTTTTCAGACCTTTAGGAGAGCTTGGACTGCTTGTATCGATTCTTTCTAACACTGTCGGTACTTTTAAGCCTGGGTAGCAATGTGTTTGAGGTATACCATGGTGCTGATTAGTGTGAAAATCTATAATGGAGTTGTAAAGGCCGAAGTCTATGAAACCAGTTGATTTATCTAATAGGTTAATGGCTAAAGTGGCTTGGGTGCTGTCCCAGACCTTTAAGAGAGCTTGGGCTGCTTGTATCGATTCTTCCTAAGACTGTCGGCACGTTTAAGTCTGTGTAGCATTGTATTTGAGATATAACATGGTGCTGCAGCAATCATCTTAAGCGTTTTTTATTGAAATCGCTGTAAATTGGAGTGGTTTGGCCTACTTGAAATGCATGGACACGGACCCACAACCTTCGCGTCACGAAGAGAGGCGTCTGTATCCTAAAGCAAGCATCACGCCCCGAATGGCCCATGGGATCACCACGAAATAATTGTTTGTGATACGAGTGGTAACTGTATTATTTTATTTTGGGAGTAGGAAAGGTAGTCGACACGAGGCCGACAGGCCGTGTGGCGCAGTCATATAACCAAAACAAAAGCACTTTCACCTCGAAACATACACTATTTATGGGCGGCCTTACTGACACTCATTTTATTTTCAATTAAGTACATATATGACGCATTAAGGTCAGTAGTAACTGATGCAGCCTGCTAAAAGTACTAAAGTGTATTGTTTCTCTGTTGGAGTTGCATATTTGCATCTGACACACGAACATCGTCTCACTTTTAGGATCATAGTTTAAAATTGAAATTTTAGCTCGCTATATTTGCCGCGAAAAAAGTTTTTACTCACGGCTGACTAAAAAATAATTTATGTGAGAATCAGGTTTAAATTTGTCATGTGAAATGCTCGAAGACATTAGAGTGACGTATTATAAAATTAAGTATTTTTATTTTCGATATTACGATAAAATTATGCAACTTTTTATTACTAATTAATATCCGAGCAAGTTTTTTCGACCGATGGATTAAAGAAAAGAGGGTAGAGTGGGTGTATTAGTTACAAAATCTGCCACTAGAGTATTTGAAGTAATGCCAACCTTTGAAAAATCAGTCAAACCTGCGTCGGGCGAGGTCAACTCCGAAAATAACATACAGTGTTTCAAAATAAAAAAAATTCTATTATAACTGAATTGTAGATTTCAGATAACAGTCAAACGCCAAAAACTGCTTTTAAAGTGCATTATTTTTTAAAAAGAGTATACGTTAATTTTTTCTTCAATAAAAAATACTTTAAGTTTAAAAACATTTTCAAAACGTTTGTCTGAAGCTAGATATTTTTTTCGTTTTCCTGAAATTGACAAACTTGGTGCATGACTGAATTCTGAAATAAACAATTCAATTGAAGCGTACAGCAACTCCACTCTGGCTCTTGAGATGAGTTTCAAATCTATAAGTATTACGCCTGTCAGTAAACATCGTTGAAAGGCATTTCTGACGACAAACAAACAAATAGGTTTCGTAAAAGAGAAATGTAAATAATCAATGCTTGGTTATGTTTTCAAAGAATGTCGGAAAACACGAAGAGCAATTGATTAAAGTACGTAAAGTGATATAAAATGAGAAAAATCTTTATTAACTTGAGGAAACAACTAGGAAAGGATGGAAAACATGTGCATGATGCATTAAACATCATTTATTAATTACTGATACTATTTTTCTTTAACTAAACACTATGCTTCTCTGCTAATGGTTACATATATGACAATCAAATACAAAACCTTTCATTAAATAGTTGATTGTTACTATTCTTTTCCTTGTCATATTCACGTCGATTTTATATTTATTAATATGTTTACGTAATAGGTTACTGATTAATGTAATGTAGTAAAACTGCTTAAAGTTGCTGTTTTATTGTAATATATTTAACGATGTTAAATGTTTTCGTAAAAAGTTTCATAGGTACCTGTTGCATTTTTAGTAGAACTGTTATTCTTGGTAGAGTTCATTCTGTGCTCTCGTAGGCAAGAAATCCCTTACAAGTATTGACAAGTAATCCGCATATATGAAAAATAACGCATAGTAATAAAGAAAGAATACATTCTGTACGAATAGGGTAAATAACGTGTGTCGTATGTTTAATATACAACATATTACAGGGTAGTTTCTATGACAATCAGCTATCCATTCCACATTCAAACGAGCCTGAATGCTAATATCGAATTATATAACTATGGCGGCCTTCAAAACTCAAGTTTTGAAGTTCAGTCAACGGGATAGACTCTTACTATACAGAGTAGCTGAAGCGCCGACAATTTTGCAGCAAAATGAATGCCGAGCCGCCATTTTTTTGCAGTTAAGTCCGTGTGCGCGCGGGATAAGCATAATAGAAATCCTCTTTAAAAAAATGCGCACGGCAAAAACAGAACATTTAAAAACAAAATCACTATTAGTTGGAAGAGCGAATTGAGACATTTGATTTCATTTCATTTATTTTCCTAAAGAAGTAGTAAAAGCAAGGTTTATACTCTTCTTGGATATTCTTAATGTCATAATTCGTTTTTTTATTGAGTGGCCGAAAAAAATGAGAAAATGTGAAAACCTATATTGCACTTTTTTATAAACACAATTTCCTTTGTGTAATGTTACATTAAATTAACCAAAACCATTGAATTAACTGATACATATGAATATTATGTTCTTTAACAATTTCTTTAACGTCAGTTAATTTTGCGAAAATTGGTCCTTAGTGAGTGCGATATTGATAGATGGTAATACTAAATATATTTCTTGCAATGGGTTGAAGAAAATAAAAGATTTCAGTCACCAAAAGACCTGTACCATACCGAGATGTACCATATTACACTGTGCGACAATGCAATTGGCGCAGAAAAATTGTGGGTGTAATGAAGTTCAGTGCCCTGATGATAATTATAAAAAAAATAAATTTTCTATCACCTAAACTTTCTTCTTCGGTTTAGTTAATTGTGTTGTTGGGGCGCTTATTACATTCTGTTACTTTTAGGAATAATTTCCTAGTGCTGTGATACGAGAAGGGAGAGTGAAATAAGCACTTAGGGTAGGGAAAAAAATTGTACTTGCCTTAGGCAATCCATAGTGATACCACACAGTATCTATTCTTGAAGTGTGTAAATTCGCTAACGTGAAGCTGGTTACAGCAGCTGGACGTAAACCAGATGGCCCGGGTTCGAGTCCCGGTCGCGGCAACCAATTCTTTGAACAAATTTTATTACATCTATTGAGGTTACGTTGGTTTAACTCAAGCACCTTAAGGCATTTTTCGCTCAATATGCCATAATTTTCTTTCATGACGCTGGCAACATTGATGTTGATATTTGAAATGAACAAGTACTATAAGCGCAAATTTTCTTGATATTTCACACCGGGGGGTTCGGAGAGAGGAGGGCTCTGGCTACGTCACCGCTTAAAAGGGCGTACCAACAGTGGGCATGAACTAACTCACCAAAGTGTGCCACGAGAAATGTTACGATTGTTTTGGAAGTACAGGGTGGTTGTTGCCAGCATTGTAAATTGGTACGTGCCGTTTCGAGTCGAACCTAAGTATCGCAACGTGCCGTACTATTCGGCGCTGGGTGAGGACTAGGGAGCTCGTGTATTTAGAAAACGTGCGCGAGTATTAAGGTCAAGGCTGAATATGTCATGGTGATTACTAGGTATAAAATTGAATCGAAGTTCTGAAATTAAAACCAAAGATCAAAAATCGATATTTCAGAACTAAAATCCTTAACAAATATTTTTTCATCTTCCTTAGAAAGTTCCCATACTTGGTCTCGGAAGAGAGAATCCTTTATATGTTATTTTTTATTGTTAGACTTAACCCCACATGCTTAACTTTGATCCCATCTTAACATTCCAAGGGATGTCTTTTGAGGTGAGGTCCCACACTCCAAGGAGGTTGCAAAGTATTATTGCAAAAATGTCCAAAGAATAATTTTAACCGGTATTCATACGAATAACCATATTTCACTTATCAAACGTATTGTCCAAGAATAACGAACGATAAACACTAAGAACCCATTCCACTGATTACATCAAAGAACAATTTTATGCTCTTTCCAAACTTTATAAAGGATCTCCACGACAGTATATAAACATTTGTGTTCTCTTGATTCAATGTTTATTAAAATATTAAAAATACATAATACTTGTATATAATGCAAAGGAGAAAAGTTTCTGACGTGAAATGTTTTTCAAAAAACATTACATAAATCAGCATACTCCATATTTTACGATGGGGAAATCTGAAAAAAAAGCAAAATATTAATATCAGATATATCTACTCTTATTTAGTTTTTTGTATCACTAACAAAATTCTGTTGACATCATGGTACAGATAATTTGACACCAGAAAAATATTTAAAAGTAGTTCATACATAACCAAAATAACATATTCTATTTTAGTTTTGTCATCCATTTTTCATTTGATTTTGCGATCCATTTTTCTAAAGAGAATATTTAGAAGAATAATATTTAGAATAAGAGGGCATTAAAAAAAAACAACAAACAATTAGTTTGCACCTTGCGAACATTTCCCATTTGGTAAATTATTATTTTAAAAGCGAGTCGTTTCATTCTGGAACACTAATGCAACTAACATGGTATTGCATTGTGCACATTGACTGTAATTTGTGTTACCGAAATCCCTGTGAGAATTTCAAATGTATATCTGAGTAGGATAAACGAATAACAATACTCTGATTAGATGATTGCACATAAACAATTATAAGAAACTATTCATAAACTGGAATCAATAATTCTCTTAATAATCTGAAATTAATAAATAAATATTTTAATATCAGGATTTACATCGTCTGTTTCAGAAAAGTTTAAGTTAATGCAACCTTCATGCTAATTCATTGAAAATTGAATAAAGTAGAGGAAATAATTGCTTCAATCCGTATCTAATCCAAATTATTATTATTTATTTTACGGCAATGGACATTTTTACATGAATTATGTTTGCAACAAGAAATATAATTTCTACGAAAAGTAATGATAATTTACTGACATAATGAAAATAAATTCAAAACAGTGTATATGACAGAACTTAAATGAATTGTAACTACAGTGAACATGAAAGTGGATTAAATTTTAGACAAGCAACAGTTATGTAGGGACTTGAGGTAAACTAAAGGAAATACGACAGTGATTGCAAAATAATGAAGGCAGTGCCACAAAAAGGGAACATCGCTTATCCTAGTATCTAATTATGAGTTATGTATATGCAAATGATATATCAGTGACAGATCCCTGATCTGTTACCTCGAGATTTCATTACTTTAAGAAATTGACTGGGAAATGGTTTTGGATTTTATCTCAGAAAATTAGAGCACACCGTAGAAAAGAAATAAAATAAATAAACACAAACTATTCTTTAAGTAAAATTATAATAGACGCAAAATTAAATATACTACATTAAATACATAAAAATTTAAAAATTGATTACGTTAATTTTCGCACTTAGCTAATTATAATACAGGCATTACATTTGAAATAATTATATGAATCGTCATTGCCAACTATATTGTTTATTACAATAGCAGCTTTCGATGGCTTCATCAGTTTTCTGCTGAATGGAAGACACAAAAACGATTACTAAGTAGTAGTAGTTAACTGATGATGATGGCTAAGCCATCGAAAGCTGCTATTGTAATAAACAATATTGTTGGCAATGACTCATATAATCATTCCATTGTAAATACCATCGAAAACTCATCACAATACCAATACATGATATTTGTCTCATTTCTTTTTAACTTATCATTTAATTTACAATTTTGAACCAATAATGAAAAAAATAGTTGAGTGGAGTGATCGTTTTTCTGTTCAGTTCTATTTCGAAACAACCTTGAGCCACATACTACCATCTCTAACCGTTATTTTCATTCATATAACACGGTCAAGGTGAAAGGTAACATTCGCTCTAATACCCCTATTCATATTTCACCAGATAACACCCACACACACACCCACACACCAGATTAGTGACGCATTGCGCCTCCTCTGTCCTCGCACCGAATCCTCGACCTGTCCCCGATCTCGCGCATGAGTAGAGGGTACCCATGTATATCGCCTATGCTACATTTGCTGTTATTAATGTACCTTTCCTTGAAAATGGTTTACTAAAAAATATGATTACATGAATTATTACATTTTGATTTTTGAGGGTACTTTACATGAAGACTTAAAAAAATATTTTTAATTCCTTAAAAATGACTCCAAATTGTTTGATTAAATTTTGTCCTCGGATAGTGTAAATGACACTTAAGAGAATGGTGCAGGACCCATGTTCATTTAAAATCCTGATTTTTTAAAATTACAAAAGTACATTTCTTGTGCGTCTTGCTACATCTACAATATCACAGATCGAGAACTAATGAAATCTGTTCTTTAAAGACAGCTACTGACATAGATCACGTTCAATTTTTCAAAAATATGAGCAGTTTTCGTGTAATGTTGCGCGAAATATAGGTTATTTTAATTCATTTAAATAATTACTTTCTCAAAAACTGCTCGAAATCGTTTTTACACGGACTAAAGAAGGGACGCTTAAAACAAAAAGGCACGGCTCTTATTTCCGTTGATATAACAGAATTTTCGAAAATTGCAAATTTAGAATCAATGCGAGAAAGTGTGTTTCACCCAAGTTTTCACTATTCTGTCCTTGCCTTGCTCTTTCGATCAACTGCGTCAAAGCCCTCTACTTCACCTCGTATGTCCATGTTGCCCTCGCTTTCGTGTTTGCTGTCCGTTGCTCCCTCATACTCCTTCTTTCACTATGCCAACGCCATCTGCCTTCACATCCCCTTTGTCTTACGTCCTTAAAATGCTACTTCTCCACCCCTTCTTTCCCTGTGCCAAAGACCTCTACTTTTACCTTCCATCTTAGAGGAAAGACTGTTATTGGATCAGAGAAGAATATCTTTCCTTCGCGATTCGAATATTTCCCTATTACCCTTGCCTCGTCTTCGCTCCCAATCCTTCCCTTGCGCTTTCTCTATCAATCCTACCGCCGCTTTACCGACTTAGCTCAGCGCATCAACTGATGTCACTGCGATGCGTCAGACCGGGAGGTCCAAGGGTTGAAGTCCCGTCGGTGGCAGGATTTTTGACACTAGCTTTTTCGCTATGTTGAATTCAATCGCTGTCAGGAGGAGAATTCTAGTGGCCGACTACTCTGAAGTGTGGTTTTCCGTGGTTTCTCCGATCAACACCAGGAGAATGCCGAAGCTGTACCTTAACAAACAGGAAACTGCAGCGCGAGGTCTTTCCGTCCCCTTCCCCAGGCCTATCCTCACCTTACTTACAGACACACTAACATGTACTACACTGCCACACATGCCGGAAAGCCAGTCGGTAGCTTCGAATTTGCCCCGTCTGCGGTGGTGTCCCTCTGGTGGGAGGTACCTAGGTGAAGAAAAACTCCACTATACATGTAGGTCGGTACCGGAACTCACCATCCAGCGAAGACCTCCGCCACCTCCCGAGCAAAAAACCACCTAAACTAACGGGACTAATGACCTTAGCAGTTGAAGCGCCCCCTGAACACTAATCAACGAATCAATCCACCCCTTTTTTACGCCTCGTGCTTCCTCCCGCCAGCGCCGTGCGTTGGGCGCTTGTCTCAGGGGCTGCCGCCGCCGCGCTCACCGTGGCCACTGTTCTCGCCGAAGCTGCGCAGCATGCAGACGTTGCTGAAGGTGCGCAGGCCGAGCGGCGTGCGCGCGCACACGGGCAGGTACAGGCGCGGGCACGGCCGCCCCAGCGCCCCCGGCGCCGGCCACAGCAGCAGCGCCGACACGCACGCTGCGGCACGCACACACACACACACACACCTGGATTACTCGCGGCTTATACAGGTTTTACAAAAGCAGCACGTGTACTGCTGGTGGATAACAAAATTCTCTCCTTAAAGACCGCGGTAAATTGAATATTTTAACAAACTAGTGGTGCCACAGAATGGCGCAGACATTCCCGTATTAGTTTTCTATTTCCTTTGAGCTCAGCTAGCTATTCGATCTTGACATATACTCTTACCTGTTGTCAGCATTCGCAACCATATTAATGGTTTTAGTTGTGGCCCTTGACGCCTTGCAAGTTGGGTACATCTGAACTAGAGGAGCAGCACCACTTGTTTAGCGCGCCAGAAAAGTCACTCTGCACCTATCCAAGTGAAAGACTGCCGCCGCCTCTGCTTCCGCCTTGCGCGACGCTATTGTCACGTGCGTGCCGTCACATCACGCTGCTTCTGCAGCCCGTTCGGACGGAGCCAACGCTGCTCGCTTCTCGTGACACTAACATAATTTCTGACACTAGCACACTCACCAGGATGGACTGCATAAAGAGTTTCCTGGCGCATAGTTTCACACTACGCTAGAGTTATCCCGAGACAATCCCGAAAGTGAACGCCGGTGCCGCTGCGATCGGCGGGAACGAGAACTAAAATCCAGCACCAACGCCTCAGCCAGGGACCTGCAACTCTCCATCAAAACCGGGAACAAAGCTCGAGGATATGAGGCGCTAGTGTCGCCGGTTGCAGCTGCAGTTGCAGCGGCGGCGATAGTGTAACGGTTAGCGTAACGGGCTGTTATACCCAAGGGTTCAAACCCTTGAATGGAATTTAAGGGCGAAAAAATCCTTCGTACGCCTTCCTTCGGAGGGGAAGTAAAGCCGGCTGTCCCATGTCCCCCCTACTTTCCTGGCGCATTTTCCACACTACACTAGAGTTATCCCGAGACAATCCCGAAAGTAAACGCCGGTGCCGCTGCGATCGGCAGGGACGAGAACTAAAATCCAACAGCAGCGACTGTTGAGCGCCTCAGCCAGGGACCTGCAACTCTCCATCAAAACCGGAGACAAAGGTGGAGGAAGCTACTATAAGAGGCGCTAGTGTCGCCGGGGGCAGCGGCGGCGATGGTGTAACAGCGTGTCGGGCTGTTATACCCAAGTTGGCGGATTCAAACCCGATCGAAACCGTGGATTTTTAAGGGCGAAAAAACCTTCGTACACCTTCCTTCGGAGGGGAAGTAAAGCCGGCTGTCCCATGTTAGTAGATTTGCGCGCATGTAAAAGCTCTTCAAGCCTAAATGAGCTAAATTCCAATCGCCTGTTCGTCGCCCAAAAGAAATACCTCCTTTCTCCGCTAGTGGGTGAAACGAGCGTAGCGAACTTTGCCATCCCGTTCCGTGGGAGTTGAGCCGTGACTCACCCGCGAGCAGCAGGAAGCGCGAGGTGTCCATGACGCGGGCGACGGGGCGAGTGCGCGAGCTGCCGGCGGAGGCGCGGGACACGGCCCGCATTGCGGTGGGCGTGCGTCAGCGTTCAAGGCCCCGCACGCGCCGCCGCGCCGTCCCCAATCGGCGCACACGCACTCACTGCCTTCCGGGTGGCACCGCTGCGCACACTATGCGATCATCCGTGGCGTTTCCCTGCCAGCCCACCTGTAAGCTGGCGTTGCATCCCACCATTCGGCGTGGGAGGAATGCGATCATCCGTGGCATTTCCCAGCCAGCCCACCTGTAAGCTGGCGTTGCATCCCACCATTCGGCGTGGGAGGAATATCGCCACCTCTCGGCATAAAATACATCTAATGGCTCGTGGCTAGCTCGGGGTCGGTGTGCTCGCTTTCCACTACGCGGCCAGGGGTTCGATTTTCGGTCGAGTTAAGACTATAGTGTGCGTTTCCCTTGCAATGTACCGGTATATGTTACTGTGTGACGATGAGAAAAGGAATTTCTCAGGTTGGGACGACCAAATCCGGCGTGGGAATGTCTACAAGCTAACCACACGTACCCTCTTAACCCATGGCCACGAGGCAGGGACGTCGCCGGTAGGCCTGGGTCCGCTCACATGCTGTCGCGCCAAGTATATACATACATACAAGGATCTAATAAACATTGTGGTGGTGCCCGAAAAAACAGTTGGTTGAAAAAGCGAGAGATCCTGCTCCTATATGTGGTAAATGCATTTCTAAAACACTTTCTCAAGTGAGAATGCAACCGTTATCGAAATCTTACGCTAAGTGATCAAAAGTATACGGACACATCCAAAATGGTGTTATGGTCATGGAGGGGGCTTGCACCCCTTGTTGTCTTGTGTGGCACTATCACAGCACAGGCCTACGCTCGTGTTTTAAACACCTAATTGCTTCCCACTTTTTAAGAACAATACCGGGATGGCGATTGCATCTATCAACACGATCGAGCCCCTTTTCATATTGCACGGCCTGAGGCGGAGTGGTTACAAGACAATTACATTCCTGTAATAAACTGTCCTGCACAGAGTCCTGACTTGAATCCTATAGAACACCTTTGGGATGTTTTGGAACGCCGACTTCGTGCCAGACCTACATGCAGCACTCCGTGAAGAATGCGCCAACATCCCCAAGAAACCTTTCAGCTCCTGATTGAAAGTATGCCTGTGAGAGTGGGAAATGTTAACAAGGCTAAGAGTGGGCCAATACCCTATTGAATTCCAGTATTACCGAAGGCGCCACGAAGTGGTAAGTCACTTTCAGCTACGTGTCCGGATACGTTTGATCACATACTTGGGTTTTTATTTCTAGGCGCTCTAGGCCTAGTTTTCATAAAAGAAAATCTCACGGTATTTCTCGGTCGTGGCGCTAGATGTTGCATGTTCGTGACCGTATCGACCAGTGATACCCGCCCGGTAACAATTATAAATTATTAGTTGTCTCGAAATAACAAAAACAATGTTTCTAGAAGAATATTTTGTTGCTGTAAATGGAATCGATATTTTATGGATGTTTTATAAACAGTTAATTATTTGTTATATCAATTTATTTAAAATAATTACTGCTGCTAAAACAGCACACACTTTCTCGCCCCTTAGTAACGATTATGTAATAATATTATACCGCATTTCCGTCTATATCAACACATCTCACTCGATGAGCGTTGACAACAAAGCGCGTATTCAGCAATGGGCACTCCCAACAATGGGCACGTGTTTTCTTCCTAAAAGCGCTATTTTTGTCATAAATGGAAGGTGGTCCGCAGTCGATGTGAAACCTAATTTCAATCGGAAAGTACGCAGAATCTTCTCGTTGTTTAAAAAAATGTACAGGACGTATTTTAAAGAGCTAATTTTGTACAACACGCTTTGTCTGAGACAAAAAATCCTATCTCCAATTTTGAAGGGTTAATTTGTTTTTCCAATTTCCAAAAAAATGGGATGTCAACGAAAATTAGACTTGCATCATTGTCTTAAAAGTCTTGTGCACTATTCAACAAGAAAATTTAGTAAAAAAATTTTGAGCTATTTTTTTTTTGAAAATGTTCCAGGGGCTTCATGTAAAGTACTCTCAAAATTAAAATATCGGATTTAAATTTCGGAGTCCGTGACATCAGCTCGAACGATTGGGGAATATCAATTTTGGAGGACATCGAGCGAACGGTTTATGCGGTAGCGTTGTGTACACACGGACAGACAACAGACTGACATACGGACAGACAAACAGACAGACGGACGGACGGAATAACAGAGAGCTCTAGAAAGCAAAAAAGGCACATTTTGGTCCCTAATTGTTGCAAACCGTAGATGGCATTACTGAAGTATTTGAATTTACAGGTCTGACGTATTTATATCTAGAACGATGTAAATTAAAATCGCAAAATGCCTTCTAATTATCATAATAATATTGCAAAACACACTAAAAACACGATAAAATCGGATGTTTTGATGAAGATATATAATTTACAAAATATTATGACAACTTTTTAACATTAGAAAATAGTTACTTGGTGGCAAGATAACCAAAAGATTTTAATTTCCAAGGAATAAACGCAGGTAAGTACGAGATATAATGACTGACACCCGATAGCCCTAAAATTCCATTTTCGAGGCAACAGTGCATCCTCTAAAAATGCTTTGAAACATTTATTATTGGTAGCAATCTTCTTCTCTTATAGAAAAATCAATTTCCACAAGCCAGCAGGGCAAAACAAAAAAAAAATTGACTCGCCCTAATAATATATATTCTTCTCCTTCAGGTATACAGGCACTGCTTGTTACGCCTCTGTTCCCACCTGGTCATTCCATCTCTTCTCCAGTATTTCTTCGTTCTTGGGGAGGGTATTGTAGAATTTTGTCTTGCATCCTTTCAATACATAAAACTCTGGATGCAGCCCATTCCTAATTAAAAAATATGTACGATGTCAACAATGGGGAATTCGAAGTAAGACACATGGTGATTACGTTAATAATGGATGTTCAAGGGAATAAAATTTGTGATGAATAAAAAAGAACATTTGTGAAATTTAGTTTGATAATAAATTGAATATGCAGACGTGAGAAATTTCCGTGGGTTAATTAAATATGTATGGGTATTGAATTGAGTATTTGAGGATTATTTTTATTAGTGTCAATTTGTAATTATCCTTTAGTAAATAAGAGAACTATATCAATCGTAGCTTTTTAACAGGGTGGATCTGATAAGAAACACGCCATTTAAAAATGTTTCGTGGCATTCTGCCAACGTCGAATGACACCTCATAAAGCATCAAATATTTCGTGTCCTCCAAAGTCTCCGGTATTTGAAGCCAGTAAAACGAATTTATCTTTTTTATACTTCAACTATAGCAATAGAATTGTTTGCCATGTTATATTAGAGTGTCAGGTTAGGTTTGCAACACAACGCATTAAATCTCTAATTTTTAATCAAAATGTATACGTGTAAAATTGATATTATCATTAAAATTGGTAATATGGAATTTAAAATTTATTAAATGATATTGTAAAGTACGCATGATATAACAGTTTATTGCATGTTGTAAGTATTACAAACTGTCAAAATTTTTATTGAAAAATACAATCGACATTTAAAGAAATAGAAAACATCCCTAAATACAGTTATCGCAAGTTGTTCGTGTGTTTTCGTGTAATTCTGGTGTTTGATATTCGTATAAATTGTCCATTTTTTGACTTCTTATTCCGGAGATAGATTTGTGACAAACGAAAAGTGTGACAAAAGAAAAGTGAGTTTATGCTGAAAGAACAAAAAAATTTCAACAGAAGTGTAAGTACTGTCTGGAGCGTTAATGGCCTTGTGTTAGTGTACGTCATTGTGGCATATTTATAAAGTACCAATGTTTTAAACGTAGAAGTTGCCCACCTAACACAGAAATGCGTTCGTTGCTGACGTTGCTGGCAGAGAGTATTTTACACGTTGCGTACTGGCTGCATGTGCAGCCTGATCTCATTCAGCGAAGACAGTCTCTCCCTTCAAAGCACTGAACAGAGGCGAGCCCTAGTGATGAAGCGTCAGCAGATTGACAAGCAGTCACTTACACTAAAGCACTGAACATCCGGCGAGACCTAGTGATGAGGTGTCAGAGGATA